CCTTGACAAGTACATAAGGCCCTGGGTTCAAGTCCTAATGCTGCAAAAGAAAAAAAAAAAAGGTTTTTGGTGATTCTAATATGTCTTTTCTTGCAGACAGTTGTATTTTTTGTGTCACTTCTTATTAAAATAATAGCATATAAGTTCATAATGAAACTTACTGAAGGTGGAAAATCACTTAGGGAATCACTAGTGGTAAGGGCAATAATAAAAAAATGCTTCTGTGAACCTGCTTGAAAAATTTCTAATACTTAAAACTTGCTAATTTTTCAAAATGCAGCTTCTTCTTGAAGAATCAAATCACTTTCATTCCTTTTAATATTTTCATTTTAACATTGAATTAACCTCATATTTTTACAGTTAAGTACTTAGAATTATATTAGAAGAACATAATTTTGGTGACATTTCTTTCAGAAATCACTAATGTAAAAATATTTTTAAAAAGATACTAGACTTGATGAGCAATTAAGTTTTTCTTCAGTCCCTCAGAAGAGGAGAGCAATAAAACAGAACATTATTGTTCCCCAACTTAGGGTCAGTGTTAAATAGTGCTCCCTTTCTACTTCCTTTTTTGCCATTCAATACAAGGACACTACATATTTTGGATTATGTGACATAAGATCTATACCAATTAAGAATTACACTTGATTTCTAGTAACTGAGATCTGGCTGTAGATGAGGTTTGATTCTCCTAAACAAAAGCACAAAGGCAGACCAGTGTTGGCTTAGCAGACCAACTCTGCCATTAGGGACTGAGCTTGTATATCTTTCTGCTTACTACCTGTGGTTTATGACTTCTGCTTACATCCCCTTGGCAATTCCTAGCTGACATGATGTCTTGGTTACTTTTCTCATTGCTGAGACAAGATACCCAACACCGAAGTTCAAGGAGGGAAGATTTATTTTGTAGAAGTTTCAGGTCATGGTTGGATGGCTCTGAGGAGATGTGGCATAACGGAGGGGCATCATAGAGGAGAAACAGTCTTTGGAAGGGTAGGCAGACAAGCAGGAGGCAGTGAGCCCATCTTCTTTTTGTGTCGTTATATCCATCCAGGCTATAAGTCTATTGGCTGGTGCCATCCACACCTAGAGAGGCTTCCGATATACACAACCAGAACTATGCTAAACCAATTTAGTTATCATACACCCTAATCCCAGTATCACACATCATAATCCGGCATCACACACCCACGATCTAGCCACTTTTCAAAAACCCCAAGTATGAGTGCACAAGGCTTTGGGGGGCATCTAGATACAA